AAGCAGGAACGCTGGAGCAGGGCCACGTCCCCGACTCGCTGGGCTCTGTCACCACCTGGGGACAGCGGGATGGAGGCACTGCAGGGCACAGCTGTCCCCAGGGGTCACTCTGTCTGTGCCACCAGGCTCAGGTCACTGGCTCCGTCTGCAAACACGGGCTGCTGACGTGTTTCGGTGGGCTTTGGTTAATGTTTTGCCAAAGCCACCGTTCCCAAGGCTGTCGGCAGCCCCAGCACGGCGGTTTGGGGACATTAATGATGGGGCAGTGACGCGTTTTCCTGCTGCAAAATCAAATCCATTTTCCCAGGAATGAGGCTGGGCGGAGGCGCTGCCAATTGCCCTCCTCACCCCACAACGGAGCAGCTGCAAAAAGCCAAAGGGTGCTGTCTAAGGGACTCAGAGGTATTTTAGATTTTTTTAAAAAATGGCTCAAAAATGAAGGAAATATTCCCATGGTTCCTGGAGTAAAGGAGGATGAGGCACTGAACACCTGGAAGCAGCATGGGGCAGGGGGAAKCTCTGCCCTGGAAAATGTTTTATGGGCATTTGGAAAAACCCCACAGCTCATTGACCTTACAAACCATAAACAGGCACCTCCCCTGCGTCCCAGCCTTACCAGGAACTCGATCTTTGTTCCTCCAGGAACAGACCCACCCCACTGAGCCACACTCTCCTTTTCCTCATCCTCGGGGTATTTTTAGTTCCTCTCAACATTTTTCTGCTATTTCTCTTTCCTCTTCCTACTCTGGCTTCCTGCTCATGGGTACAGCCCTGGATGCTGCCCACCAGTTYAAAATATCCCAAATCTCTGGYTCTTTTTTKAAATATTGGTGGTAATTTTAAAAYGCAGGGATTTGGGGATCTGGGATGGAAATCTGGRTTGGTTTCTGACCCCCACGAGGGTTCTRTGGGGTGAAGGAGGGACTGCCTGGCGGACTCKGGGCTTTCAGCTGGGTTTGTGCYTCTGGCTGTGCCAAATTCTGCATCTTCACCCCTGTTTTTGTAAAGAAACGCTCCCAACTGTWATTTTTTGGTTTAACAACAGCAGAGCTGGGGCTGGGTTCTGCCCCCAAGATGYGGCTGAATGAATCAAACAGCGAAATCTTGCTGAATGAAATCAAGCCAGTGCCCTGCTCTGCTGGAACGTGGCCGGTTCCTCACGGCGGTGACTGTTTTAGGACGCTGTAAAACACACGTCAGTGTCCGCATGCAAAARAGGCGGTGGCGGTGTCGTATTTTCTGTTTTGCATCATGTCTGGTGT